GTGACTGGGGTAATCGGGATGGGTGTGTCAGAGGCGGTGCGGTTGGCGCAGGATAGAGCAGGGTTTAGGGCTGTTGTGCATAGGGTCCCTATGAGTCGGAAACGACTCAACGGCACATAACAACAAACAACAAATGCAAATAAATACTGATGCTGCTCCTGTTTATTTCTCACTTTACTGAAATCAAGGTATAGCAGTCACTGATTAATGACTGCTTACGCAGTGCGTTGTTAGGTTCCCTCAAGATGACTGACTCTTAGCAACTCTATGAACAACAGATCTGAATCTTGTCCCAATTATTATACAGCATGATTTATACCTACTATTTCTAATTCTCAACAGCCTTGCAATACTGGTTCTATACACTTAATAAAAAGAACAACTAGCTTATTAAATACCATATAGACATAATGTTGGAGACAGTACTGAGACCTCATACTCTCTCATCACTTTCTTCTTATCCCACAGACATTATCACACACATTCATCATTTCTATAGAGATCAAAATAAAACCAAAACTTGTAGCCTTCTAATCAGTTCCAACTCAAAGTAGCCCCAGGTGTTATAAAAAAGCACTGCAAAACACAATTGTCATGGTTAGGAGCTTTTATTACAAACTGCTAGGCTTGTCTCCCATGGCCCCTCTGAGTTAAAACTCTCAAACTATGAGATGAGTTATTAGGCGAGTGCTTGAAGATATTCACTATGTAGCGACTTTGAGAGATCCCCAAAAGGCAAAGTCATTGCTGTGGAATCAGAACAGATTTACAGCTGATCCTCCACAGAGTTTTCTGAAGCTGTGAATCACATGAGAGGAAACTGCCCATCTTACTTTCTCCCTCTGAGCCACTAGTCATTCAAACCACCAGAGAGATGTGCCCTTTGGGTTAGATGTGCAACTGTTGTTGTGTACCGCTGAATCAGAACCAAATGACTCTCCGGTGGCTTTTCAGAGGCAGTCAAGTCACAGAAGGAAAGAGTTCATCTCTCTTCAAAGAGAGATTGGTGGACTAGGGCCACTATACCTTGTGTTGGCAGCACAATTCCTTACCACTTAGAAAAACTGGCCATGTTATTTTTAGAAAATACCAAGATGATTCATTTTGCAATTCAAATTATCAGAGTAAGAAATGTTAAGAAACTAACTCACCTGATGCAGCAGACGTTTCAGTTTCAATAATTGAGTTTTTACAGCAGTACAATCTTGAACCATGTGCCGGAGAGTCATTTCATCCAGTACCACAGTATTTTCTGGTACATCCAAAAACATCTTCTGGGCCTGGAAAAAGGGAGTCCCTCCATAGCTTTCAAAATTACCCAAAGGAGATTCTCTATAAGGAGAGCCTCTGGAAGTACAGGGAAAGAAGAAGGAGATGGGGGAGACATACAATATAATTTTAATAAGAAAGAAAAAAAAGGTATTATTTCAGTAATTCTTTCCTATCTCTTATCATTACCACAAAGCCTGTCATCTCAATCATGGAATTTGTTTCTACTAAAAGGTTCACTCAATTCTCACTCAAAAATTTCATCCTGTGAAGTCAGATATTTTTCGTAGGTGCTTCTTTCTCCATCAGGTTTTCTGAGCCTGTAAATTGCAGGTGAGGAGCCTGCTCACCCTTCTCCCTCAGAGCTGCTAGAGGATTTTAACTGTCAGCGGTGCACCCTCAGGGTTAGCAGCACAGCTACAGACTGTATACACCACCAGAGCCCTAGTCAACTCTTATTATCTTTAATAAAATTATCTGTTGTACTCTTGCAGAAGATACTCTGCTCCTTCTGGTATATTTTATACTTCAGTTAAATAAACTTCCTTCCTAAAGAACTAGAATAGAAACAAAATTCTCTGGAAAGGCCTGATCTGGAAAAACATAAACTTATTTGTTTTTTCTACATTTACCACAGCTCGGCTTTAGATTTTATCAGGTTTCTTCAAAGTAAAACGTTCTGTAATCGCCTAATTATGCTATTTACTTTTAATTCCCAGCTTGGACACACTGCTGGACTCCCAGTTTTTATGTAATTTGGCAAAAAATTAAGATAGTTGAGCTGTTATTTACTTTTCTGTTGTTCTAATGTTGTTGATAAACCATTTTTAAGAGAAAAGACAAAGACAGTTGTTCTTCGACACCATCAAGTCACTTCTGATTCATGGCAATCTAATCAATGCTGCCAAGTGTCAGTGAACCTCACAGAGTCCTCAGCCAGCCTCAAGATCTTGGGTCTTCCTTCTTCTCACTGAGCCAAGATTAAAAAGATTAATCTTTGCCAAGATTAAAAAGCTTTTTAGGGAGGCACTATACATTCTCTAATGTTAAATTACATTTTAAAGAACTACTACAAGAACATGTACAATTTTCTTCAGCTTCAACAAATATTATGCATAAGAAGTGTAAAACCAACTAGATAATATATTTCATGGTAGTTAAAAATATTGGAAGGAGGAGTGGCATCACTTCCATAATAGCTTGCCTCCAGAAACCCTATGAACCTGGAGAGAGGATGAAAGGCACCCAAGCGTCGAGGACTCTCCTTCATAGGGTCGCTGTGAGTCACCTGCGACTCGATGGCACTTAACAACAACAACAGTTAAAAATACAATCTTTTAACCAAAACTACTGCATCATATCACTTAAATATGATTCCAGTTGCTTCTTTAAATAATGCTTTTTTATTATATACGTGAAATCTTAAGAAAGTTCATCACGTGTTAAATTTGAAAAGTCTCATCAAGTTGTAGAGAAATAGGGTTTCTACTAAATTTACTACATTTTAAGAAATACTTCCTTTCCAAATCTATCAATTCTTAAGTACTAAATATAGATTTGTTTTTCAACAGTTCCTTTTTCTTTGAAACAATGTCTCAGACTTAATTTCAGGTCTATACTTTCTAAATATAAAAAAATAATTTTAAAGTTATTGATTCATAAGTAAATTCCTAATTTTGAGATATGTAATTCTTTCTTTTCATTCACTCAAAATTATCAGATTTCAAATACTGAGCTATTATTTAGAATTAATTTACCCATCCACAATTATAGTGACATACAATCTATTCATGCAGTGATACAAATATACAATTAATGTTAAATGTACACAAATCTATAGAACCAAATGAAAGATGAACAGGAAAGATGTTAGGAGCTGTGGTTTTAAAGTCAAAAGCTTAAAAAAAAATCTCAAAAAACAAAGACACCCAAAAAAAACAACACCCCCACCCCAAAACAAACAAAAAACCCCAAAAACAAAAAACCAAAAACCAAAGCTAAGATATTTTGGGAAATTTTCCTGAGTAAAAAAGGATTTAGGAGGAAGAATAAAGTACAAAATTGGAGTCTGACAGGAAAATACTTTTCCAAAGAAAACAAAAATTACATACATGACACATAATATGTCCTGTAGAAATAATTATGGCTATAAGGCTGTTGATAGCTTAAACTCTATTTTTCAACTTCATTGTCAACAGACTGCTTTTTCAAGACTATCTTCATTTTGTGTGTATATGTTTTATGTAAATAAAATTTTTATTTTACACTGGTTTACTTATAAGGTTCATATATATTGTTTTTCATACTGAGTCTTTCCAATTTCCTTTACCCATTCCTCCTCTCTTCACTGTTCAAATTGTGTGACCCTTTGCTCTCCCCTCCCCACCCTGGATCCTTATACACTTTCTACAGAAACCTCGGACTCCTGCCACCCTTATCTCCCCAGAACTCCGACCTCAGATGTTACAGTGAGACTTGAAGGCTAGGGTGCAAGCAAGGTGGAGCCACTACAGGAGAAGATATAGGTAGTAGTAGCAAATATTCAAATGAGAACTATTAAGGCCCAAGTAAAAAAGGGTTCCATGTGAATAGCAGTTAAACATGGATCAGTTGGTCCTCCCGAGATGGGCGAGCACCATTCCAAAGAGATGGGCAATGGCCTTTGTTGCCCTCAGCCGACTGAAAGGGAGTCAGGTTCAGATCCCTGAATCTAGAGTAGTGGAAACAGGTGCCGTGAGGTGTCCAGTTCTTAATCCTTAATTGTGGAAAATTCCCAAAGCATGCTATCATCACCCTCATCTTAAAATTCATGTCCTCTCTCTCTCTACTCTCTAAACTCCTTCCCAATAAATCCACTCTGCTGTCTACTCCACATGTGACCTTGAAATCTCTGCTTTGCCTAAGATTTTTTTAAACTTTCACAAGAATCCTGATGCAGTGCTGCATTACTATCTATCAGAATATTTATTAGTATATTTGTGTATGTTTATAGTCAATGCCAAATTTTTAATTCCATTAAGAGACGGGATGTGTATTGTTCTTTTTTTGTCCCTGAGAAAGGTGCAAATGGTGGTTGGTTTGGCTTGGCCTTTTTTATTCCTTTATTGAATGCCAGAGTAAGAAGCCTCAATTTTTTCTCTTTATTTTCTTTTTAAGGCTTCTATCTACAAGATTTTAAAATTCTGAAATTTAAACATGAAAAAGGGCAATGCAAAGAATTATAATTTGGATTGCACTTTAAATATAGCACTAGTTAACACTCAAATTATAATTACTATTTTGTCAAATAAGTGAAACACTAAGGTATAAATTGAAGGAGACCGATTCAAAGTCCATGCCAAGAAATAAAATCAAAATAGAAATCTCAGCCTTATTGCTATGAAGCTGACTGAGACTCATGGTGACCCCACATGTTAGAAAGAACTGATGGTTCCAAAGAGGCTTCTTAGCTGTAATCTTTAAAGAAGCAGCTGAACAAGCCTTCTTTTAGAGGAATTGCTGGGTGGCTTCACATTGTTACCAATGAGTCAGAACTGACTGATAGTTGACCTTCCAGAGGATTTTCAGAAGAATATAACTATGTATCTTCAGGTTGGAAGTGTAGCTCATTACCTCTTCACCACCAGAGTTCTAGAAAAACAAAAAATCTTTACAGATGGACCAATAGTCAAAATCATGATAAATGGAGAAAAGACTGAAATTGTCAGTAATTTAATTTTACTTGAATTTACAACCAACACTCATAGTAGAAGCAGTCAAGAAATTAAAACATAGTAGCTAAGAGAATAGCTGTCCCCTTTTCCTTATGAATCAGGGTGAAGTCTCTCTGGGAGGAGTGATAGGGAATGGCAAAGGACACACTGACAAAGGAGATTAATCAGAACTGGATTTGACAAGCACTGTGGCAACTGGACAATTCAAACAGACTTACAAGAGGGGAAAAAAAGAAGAACGAACTGGGGAGGAGGGCAGAGAAAATAGTGGACAATGTATGAATGAAAACCCAAAATCCCTGTAAATGTTCATTAAAATTAATAAAATTTAATAATAAAAAAAGACATTTCAAAACTGAAAAAAATTAAAACATTTATTGCATTGGGAAAATGGTGGTCCTCTTAAAAATGCTTAAGGAGCAAAGGTGTCAGTTTAAAGACTAAGGTGCATCTGACTCAAATCCGTATTTTCCATAGTTTCACATGCATATTTAAGCTAGACAGAGAAGAAGGAATAGTAAAGAAAACTTAATGTCTTTGAATTATGGTGCTAGTAATGAGTACTTAAATATACTCAAGGACGGCCAAAAGAACAAGAATTCTGTTTTAAAAGAAGTGCAGCAGAAGTACTTCTTAAAGTAAGGACAGTGAAATTTGATTTCACATACTTTGGCCTTTTTTTGTCAGGAGTGTCCAGTGGAAAGGGGCATCATGCTTGGGAAGGAGGAGGATCAGAGGAGAGGAAGCCATTCAAGAAGCCAGACTAACAGTCATTGATTGTCACAATAGGCTGAAGTACAGTAGAGATTATGAGGATGGCACTAGACAGGGCAAGGTTTTGGTATGCTTAACTATGAGTCAGAACCAACTTGGCAGTACCTAACTACAACAGGGACAGTACGGGCTGGGAGAGAAAAATGTAGGTAAGAGATATGTATTAAATTGTGTGAAAGAAAAGGCAATAAACAATAAAGGTGTGATGAGCATATATTATTAAGGAAAAGGATGTTATAAGGAGGTACACAAGAGTTACAGATAACAAATAAAAATACTATCAGATACATCACCTGGCATCAACAGTAACAGCAGACATTAATCTTAGAGGATATATAGTCTAACAAGCATGATAATTACGTATATGCAGGCAAATGTATGTCTACATACAAAGCCATACAGGTTTGGCAGACAATATTTCTACATATTTATCTGTATATGCTATAAATAGAGTGATATATATCTCTATCTATCTATAGTGAGATATATATATATATATATACATATATATATATATATATATATATAAATAAAGTAAAAGGGGCAAAGACCTCACATTATAAAGGAATAGTCAATGAAATCTTTGCTACT